TGATGGTAAACCTGGCACCCTAGATGTAAGGATGGAAATATGTCAGACTCTTTACTATAGCAAGGAGATCCCTTCGAGTTACACAGTAGTTCCTCACTGGTCTACTCATGACCTTACTGAAGTAGGCCACCACATGTTTGTTTTCACCCACTTTCGGAGACAACACTCCCCCAATTCCAAAATTACTAGCATCACAATCCAGTATGTACAGCAGTGAGGGATTTGGAAGCTTCAAAAGTGGAGCTGAGGCCAATTTTTCTTTCAATGTTCTTGAAAGCATACTGGCAAGAAACTGTCCATTCAAACTTTTAGCCCTTTTTTTTTTTTTGTTAAATCATGTTGTGGAGCAGCTTTTGTTGCAAAGTCTTTCACAAACTTCCGGTAATAGGTACAGAGTCCCAAGAAAATTCTCAACTCTCCCACATTGTCTGGTGTTGGCCAATCACGCACTGCTTTCACCTTGTCAGGATCAGTTTGCACAACATTCTCACTTGCAATGTGGCCTTAGTAAAGCACCTATTTCTTGAGCAAATGACATTTCTTGGGATGGAGTTTGAGGTTTGCTGTTTTTTAAAGTAATGCTTGAATACTTCCTCTAGCTGGGATGCTTCCTCATCAAATGTTGCTGCAAACACAATGACATCATTGAGGTACATCAGGGCTATCCTCCATTGTAGGCTTTCCAGTACTCTTTCCATCAGCCTCTGAAATGTTGCTGAAGCATTGCTAAGCCCGATTGGCATCACACAGTATTGCCAGAGATCTTGGCTATAACTAAATGCAGTCTTAGGTTTATCTGCCTCAGCCATTTTCACTTGATGGAAAACTGACTTTTAATCCAGAGTTGAACCACCTGGCTCCACTTAGGGTATGAAGAGTATCATCAATTCTTGGCAGTGGGTATGAGTCATTTTCAGTTATACTATTAAGAGCCCTGAAGTCCACACACCAACGTTGGGTCCCATTCTTCTTCTGGACTAACACGACGGGAGCTGACCAGGGACTATCTGATTTCTCGACTATCCTTCCTATAATTTGGCCATCCATGACCTTCTCCATCTGTTGTCGCTTTGCCACAGCTATTCTTGTTGGAGGGATCTTTATTGGATAGTGTTTGCCTGTGTTTATTCTGTGCTCTACAAGGTCTGTGCAATTGAGATCATGATCTCCTTTTGAAATGATGTAAGCATAATTCGCCAATAGTTCCCTAACCAGAAGAGCCTGTGATGATAACAAATGGACTATGCTCTTCTTATAGAGGTCAGTTAAATGTTCTGGGAGAGGATGTCTTTTCTTTATGGTCGTATTTTTTGCCATAACATTGACTGGATCAACCTCCTGGCACACACCCAACAATGCCCCTTCCTTAAGTGTCTGCTCACATTTAAAAAAATTAGCAACTGTTATGGGTACTACTTGATGATCTGCCACAAGTGACCTTCCAATCTTCACATCCGCTGGCCTGGATGGGTCTTCCACTGCTTCCACAAGCATTGGGCTTCCTTGGGGATGTTCTTTTATCCTACCCCAAATTATCTTCTCGGACATTGTGGTTGACTAAAATGCTGTGACATGCAAATCAACAGAAGCAGCAACACTTACTGGAATTTGGCCTTTGTTGTTCCCAAGCATAATTTTATCAAAGTTAACTACACACTTCCTCAGTTGTAAGTAGTCCAACCCTAATATGCATTGGTCTTTAATGTCAGCCAAGTATACTTTCTGTCTGTTCTTCATTCCCATGAGCTCAAAAGTTACCCACACTGGTCCCCACAACCTTACATAATGTCCTGTCACACTACAGAGCTTCTGTACAGCTTCTGGTACTCCTATGTGATCCAGCACCTCGATACTCACAAGGGTTTGCTGAGACACAGAATCTATGACAAAGTTGCACTTTTGGCCATCTAGTTTTCCTGTCACTTAGCTGTTTGGACTTTCACAATGGGGGTTGGTGGGCATCCCTCAACACCAACCACTACTGGTTTCCCAAAGCTGACTTATTGGTAGTATTCTTCTTACACTGGCTCCTCATATGTTCTTGCTCTCCACAGTTACAACAACGTTTCTGGGTAGCAGCCTTTCCTGGCATGGCATCTTCCCTGTGTTGAAGTTGCCAGCATTGAGCTTTCTTGTGCCCAGGTTTGTCGCAATACCAACAAAGTCCCTGAAACTTATCTGAAAGCTGCCCTTTTCTGGCCTTGAATCCTGATGACTGTACC